TGTTTCGGCCCCTTTAACCATTAGTTGGTCCGTAAGCCCACTATATTAGTCCACTACTATTACACCCTAAAACTATATATTGGCCTCATTATTGAATAAGCCGTATGTGTGTGCAATTGAAGAAAGAGGCACCCAACTTTTCTCTTGTTTTCTCTCTTGAGTCTTGAAATTGAACCTGTCTTCCTCTATTCTTGTTTATTCATTGCAGTCACCATATTGTGTTCTTTGTGAACACATTGAGTTGAGCAACTGAAGTAAGAATCGTTGTTTGAGTTGGAGGCATACTTGGGTGTGTTTAATAAGGTTGAGATTAGTGAAACTGAGCCTGAAAAATCTATCAACGGAGGTCGATTCTTCAACATTTGGTATCAGAGTGGGGTTGGGGTGGAAAATTCTGGCCAAAATCTGACCAGAAATCGGCAGAAAACAGAAAAATTGGACTGCCCAGTTTTTGCACCAAAAACCGCACCTGCAAATGCGATTTCTCGTCAATCCAGAAGTCCATTGGTGAAACGGAGACCAGGGTTAAGATGTGCAGGTGGAAGCGGTGCTGGGTGTGTGGTGCGTGATTCTGGTAGCGGCGCATGGCGACGGCGCGTGAGGGCTTGTGGAATCGATTCTGGGGAAGCTGTTTTCAGGCAGTTTGTTTCTCACATTATTTCTAACATTTTTCGTGTTGAAAGTTTTCTATTTCAAGTTACAAAGAAAAAATTGGACGATTTTGCCTTTGGTGGATCAACGGTTGAAATTGCCAAATATTTACTGAATTACTTTAGACAAAAATTGCAGCCATAAAATAGTAAATTGGCATATCTCGTAACTTACGGACTCAGATAGGTTCGCTTTGGTATATTGGCTTATCTCAGTTTAAATTTCAGCATCAGTAGATCATCGTGTGGAGTGATCGTTAGGATTGGGGGTTGTCATTACTTGTGCTAAAAATTATGATCACTTGCTCTTTTGTGATTGAGTACTTATTTTTGAATAAATTAGCGTATTGTGCTTTGTGCTAAAATTGCCGTGAAATTTCATTTGATTGGATA